CAGAAATTACAGGGGTGATGAAGTTTTGAGAAACATCTTTGCTCCTTGTGTGTACTGGTGTGGTTTAGTGCTTAGCCCTGAGTCACAGGAACCAGCTTCTGCCTCCAGCTGTGTCACTACTGTGTGGTGTGACCTTGGCATTGGTTGTAAGCTGACTGTGCAGGGATTGCATCTTCTTGATTAATAGCCTTGTTCAGAGTTATATGCCCTTGGTTCGACAGCACAAATAAGTCTTTATTACCTTGGTAGCAGTGTGGAGTCCTGGCTCAGAAAAGGAGCACAATCCTTTCCTGGCTTGGGAACCAACAGCACAATTAATTCTATTTGGATTGCGCCATAAAAGGTGCCAGTAAGGCAGAGACGCTGAGGCCTACAAACATTGCATGAGTTTAATTAAAAGAATGATTTGAAGCAGCTTTGGGTACAGATACTTATTACTTCTCTATTGGTTCCTCTCACTTCCTCTGTAATGAAGTGTCAATGAACTCGAACAAAATGAGCTTTCATTCTGCATGGCAGAGAGCTCCCAAAGGTGGCTGCTTCTGGAGACTGTTTTAGTAGTGTGTGAAATAAAGGTGAAAGGGGGGAAGTTTCTCCCTTCCTGGCTGTTCATAGGGCGGAAAACACAAGTGTGGCCCGTGCAGCAGTGAGCCACCCCTATCCATGCAGAGGATGGCTGTGTCCCAGCAACACTTCCAGGTACTGCTTTGGTGTCCAGAGGGACTCCTGGGAGCCTGTAGCTAAAAGTGGCTGGGCCCTTCACTGGGCTGGGGTGAGAAAGCTCAGCGATTTGCAGGATGGGGCCCTGGCTTTTGATGCATTTCAGTGTGTTGGAAGGAGTACTGTGGGTATTCTCTTGGCCTCCACATTAAGCTCTCAAATTTTCCCAGAGAACTAGGCAGAGGGAAATACAGTCACAGAAAGGGAGCAATTAATTAAGCAGCTCTGTGCCTTCTTGTGGTGTCGACCCCAGCAGTGCCTGTGAACTGCATAAATGCACTCAGGCTTGCTGTCCAGAGCTCTGATCTGGGCAAAGCTGACTGCAAAAGGACTCGTTTCAAAGCCTCTCTTGTATTCTTTGGTAGCACGTACAAGGAGAGTGTTACAGACATTACTGCTCTGCCTGTAATGGCTAGGGAAAAAGGCTCAACAGATTAGTGGGCTTTTTTTTTACCTCTCCTGTGTGTATGCTTTTGTTGGAAATGAGGAATTAGCACTACTGATTTTTTTTTAAAGACTCGTGAGTGCCCACAACCCAAACTGACCTAGGCACTTTTGGTGACTTAGACAGAATATTCAAGTTATTTTTAAATGCTGGAAGTCTTGCAGAGGTCTGGGAATGTTAAATGATTGATTATTTGCATCATAGAGCATAGGAGTCACAGCCCTGCACTGAGGCTCCATTGTGCTAGGTGCTGAATGCACAGAGAACAAAATGACTGGGTTTGCTCTCAGTACCATGAAATCGGAGCAGAGGCAACTCCCATCCCTCTTTTCTGATATATCTGTGCATGCTCAGTGTGATACAGCAGTAACAAATCACAGATATGTTTTTTATAGCAGATGAAGTACAAATAAAGACTTGATTTGTATAATGGGCATTTGCTTAACATCTTGAATGGCCGGGCACAGTAAACAGTATATAAATGCCTGGATGGAAAATAATTGTTCATGCACAGGGCTGATAACAGTGACTATGTGTACTTTCAGCTGTGTTTCTCTGTTATGTCCAGGCCTCTGGTCAGTGCTACAGTGCTGTTACCAGATGACTTGTATTTACTGCTCTCCTTTGATCGCTTTGCCAGCGTGACATCTGGCTAGTTTCCCTTTGCCAGGGTCCCAGGATCCTGGGGAAGTTCTCACAGTTACTCGTGTCTGTCTTTCCCCTTTACAGTTAGCCTGAGAAGTGAATGATTCCTCCCCTCCCTGCAGGTGGGGGTTTATTTGATGGGGAGGGGGGCTAGGGGGGTGAGTGTTGTTTTTCCCTTTTCTCAAGGGTCAGACAAATTCAGCCCCACACGAGCAATGTTAGGTTCTACAGGCTATCACAAGGCCCTTATATTTACTGTCACTTTGAGGTAGTCCATAGAGTCACAGTGGTAATAGTTTGTTTTGTAAACATAGGTGGTTCTCTGTGTGCAAGTGCCTAGAGCTGAGGAAAGACAGAAATTGGTTCCTGTGGGACTTGTTCTGCACTTGCCCTCCCTAAAAGCTGTCTTGGGCACAGAGAGGCTTTATTCTTGCAGTACAAAATTGATCTCTGACTATGAAGTGTTTTACCATGGCTGACATCTTGGAGCAATAAGAGGGTGGGGTTTTTTTATTTCTGATTACTTTTAGGTATCTTGCAGGCAGCAACCCCCTTGGAAGATGAGTAACTAGTCATCATGCTTGGGCTGCTGATCAGTAGGAAGTAAATGCAGTTCAAATTGCTCTTGGTAGCCTGTGTTGCTGGAGATTGTCCTGCCCCAGTAACCTACAGTAACTGAAGTGTCAGTGTCTGTGCATGGACAGCCACTGAGAAATGTCTCTCCCTGAAGCCAGGCTGTTGCTCTGTGGGAAAGGGTCTCATGCAAGCCAGCTAGTGTCACACTTCAGTTTTCAATGTTACTTTGAAGCCTTCATGTCAGTGAGACATTAGAGACCTGCACATCATACTGAGCAGACCTGAATGAGTACTTACAGCAATTGTAAGCTTTTCACAATATTTTCATCTCGTGTCTGATCCTGGCTCAGTCACAAACTGAACTTGTGACTAAACTCATTTATTTAGGAAAAATTCTTTCTTTAACTGAAGGGCCTTAAATTGAAATATTTTAGCAAAACCCTGAAACATGGGGGCAGGTAGAGCAAGAACCTGCCTCTAACTCCTGTTTCCCACTGCAGGTCAACCTCCACAACCTGGCAAACAAAAACTTTTGACTGGTTCTGCCTTAAACATAAGATGATTTTGACTGCATGACTCACTATTTTGTATTTGTTGTTTGTATTGCTATAGCAGTTGAGGCTCTTAAACTTTGGATCCGAGACCTTGTTGTGCCAGGTGCTGTTAGGAGCATGGGAAAAAAAACAAACCAAGAAGGCCATGTGAGGAAGAACATGAATTTCTGCATAACTCAAGACAACAGGTGGCTACAGATGGGGGATTACAAGGAACTGATGAAATAATAGTGAATGACCTGTGCAGTGAGTAATAGTCTTGGTACATCACTTATCGAAACATTGCTGAGGTTTTGTAGATGCTACAGCAAAGGGGAGTTTGAAGGAGAATGATGGAATAACAGAAGTTTACAGTAACATCTCAGCAAGTGAGAAAGGCAGCAGAGGGAATAGTGGCATGCTGAAAATGATGCTTGAAGGAAGATGTTTGCTGCAAAATCTAGTTAGTTGTTTGTGGATGCTGTGGTCATATATGAGAGAGTACAGATACAAGAGCAAAGTGCAGACAGAAAGTGTGTTTTTTGGAGGAAGGAAAACAGAGCCATGGGAAAAAGAAACCTACAGGCAGGCTATATATTCAGAGTTTTGCCCTGAAACTTTTGGTGTGTTTGCTATTAGCAACTCAAGGAAAAAGAAAGTGCTGTTTCTTTGGATCATAACCTTTAACCAACATGTGACATGAGGGAACAGATGAGTGAAACAGAATGTGTGTGTTCCTTTATTTGTAGCACAGATGTCTCCATAAGGGGCAAAGGAAAAATGCTGCTTTTTGTAGTGTTGTTTATTTAAACTTCAGTTTAACAAAATTAGCCTGTTCAGAAACTTCAGTGAACGTCCTTTTTAAGTTGAAAGCTTGCAGAGCAAGATGCAAGTCAAATGCCAGCCCCAGCAATTAGCATGCATCCTTTCATGAGTGTCAAACTGTGCTTAATCTCTACTGATCGGGTTCTTTTTCTCCTACATGCTGTCTGCAGCTAAAAATAACACCAAGTTAAAGATGTACCAAAGTTAGAAGCTGCCCAGTTCATGGTTTTTCTGAAGCAGCTTGCTCTCTTCCCTAATCATGGTTTTTCTTCCTATGAAGCATGAGAGGAAACATAGATGTCACAGCATGTATTTGGGAAGCTCTCACTGGCTTGAGGGTGTCCAGGAGCTTATGTGCTTGTAGATCACAGTGTAAAAGGTATTGCTTGAAGTGCAGCTTCCCACATAAAATCAAAAAGGTGTGTTGGTGTTTGATAGGAAGGTTTCTCATGAAGGAAGTGGAAACACAGCATGACATGACTGCAGAACAAGAGAGGATGTATTTAAATAGACTCCCCAGAAGGTGGTTAGAGAAATGGCTTCATAATAGGAAATGCATTGGCTGCTTCAGCATTAAATGCTCTCCCCATGTGTTCTCTGCAGTAGGGACCCCTCTCAGCTGAGCCATTTTTAGCTGTGTGAAAGAGCCCAGTTATTTATCTCCATGGCTCTCTGAGCAATGAACTTCTGTCGTACCACTAGAGGGGGACTGCACGCCGTACACCTCCCGTCCTGCTGGGCCTCACTGGAGTTGCTGGGCTGGTGGGCACTGAGGGGTGGCCACCAGCCCAGCACCTCCAGCTGCATGGCCCACTCTGCTCTGGTGAGCACTGGGGTTTCACAGCACCTTTGAAGGTCAGGCATTGCAGGCAAAGAAGTGTAAAGGCACATGGATGAGGATAGCATGATTGGTATAGTATCTACATACTTCTCTAGTTATCCAGTTCTGCAGAATGTTGGGTTTTATTCCCACACAGTTACAAAAAGTGTCCTGAGCATGACTTGTGTTCAGAGAAAGCTGAATAGTGTGTGTGTGCAACATCTCTGAGTCACAAGGTGTGAATAACCTCTCTCCACGCCTGGATGAAGGAACATAGCAGCAGCTTATTCAGCAGTGCCTTTAACTGGTCAAAGATGAAATGGAAACATGATTGTTTCTAGATGCTGGGAGAAAAGTGAGGGCTTTAGGTGTAACAGGGTGTAACAGACCCAGTTGTGTGCTGGACCTGACCTGCCTGTTCCCTGCTGCTTTGCAGGGCTTTTACTCACGTGTTCACCTTTGGCCCGACGTTCCGAGCGGAAAACTCGCAGAGTCGCCGGCATCTGGCGGAGTTCTACATGGTGGAGGCTGAGCTGTCCTTCACTGAAAGCCTTCAGGACATCATGCAGGTGGGCACTCCAAATGTCTGTGCAGGACTGGTACCAGTGTTTCTTCCTCCTGTGCTCCCTGCCCTCAGCTGGGGTCACCGCTCCTCTCACCCTGTGTGAATCAAGTAGAGGTTGCACAGGTATTTCCCAAGGAGGAGGGTTTGCTCAGCAGAGATGAGGCCATAGAGAGGATTTGGAAGGGAAGATACAGGTGCACACAGCCCTCATCTGAATGGGAAGCTCCACAGTTGCTGTATTGCCAGGGAATGTAAATGTGCTTGACTAGTGCTGATGAGTGGCACTCTCCCTTTCAAAATGTTCAGCACCTTTCCACTGAGTGAGCAGTGTTTATGCAGTGTGCTCTGTAAAGGCCTCCTTGAAATCTGCATTGAAATCTGAAGAAGAAATAACATACACTGTTCTGGCATACACTGTTCACTGTGGCTTTAGCAGAAGACTGGAGGAAATCCTTCGTCAGCTGGTTTTTGATTTTTAAGGATTGACCTCTCAGATGCAGTTTAACCACATGATAGATGCCTATACACCTTACTAGTCTCAGCATAAGCCAGCTTATACCCAGTAGGACTTGTATGTAAACATACACACACTCTCTCATTTATCAGATAAGCTCTGTGGAAAGTGATTGAAAAAATAACCTTATAAAGAAAAACACCTGAGGCACTGGCTGCAGATTTACAAAATAACATCCAGGTGGTGGTTTCTTCAGCATGGGTCATAAACAGTGCTGAAGCAGCATGGCCTGAGAGCACAGTTGGTGTGCTCTGTGTGCTGCTTCTGAATCTGGGATGTCTCCATGACACTGGCCTGTGTGGACTGATCCATTGGGAGTCTGTGCTCCATCATGAATAGCATCCTCCTCTTTAGTCTCTCCTTTTCTCCACAGCTTTGGGTATTCTTAGAGCATATACAGCCTGTGTATATGTACACACCTTAATTCCTGAGCCCCCTTGTTTCTCTATGTAATCAGGAGTCAATTGAAATCTTCACTACTTTTATCTAGTATAGTAAACAGAGTCTTCTGTTGAGTGGTGTTTGAGCCCTTCAACACAGAATCAATATACCTTGTGCGGAAAACCTTAATTTCCTGGTTTTGAAGTATAAACAGCCAGTTCACACAATTCAGAGAATTAGATTTGAGAACTGTTCTGGAATTTGTAAGGCTTTTATTTGTAGAGAAAGGAGGAACTTTCCCTCTCAATTTTTGCCTTTGTTGTTGCTAAGTATCTTGCGAAGTTTCAGCTTGTGCTCTCTTTAAATCTGCCCTCTGTCTCAAAGTCTTTGACAAGCACCTTTCCCTATAACAGAAAGTCTCCTAGCAGCCATTATTTTGCATTTCTCATAGTGAGTATGTATTGCAACAGGCTTAATTTTGTGGTGTTCTTACTTGGGGAAGTGGAGTTCCCACTTTGTTTATTTTTAAACCATTGAGCAATCTCTCTTACAACAAAACAAACAAAAAACCTCAATCAACAGAAAACCCTGCTAGTTGCTCTAAAACCTAAGTGTCTCTCCTGGTGTAACTGACCTAAATTCAGTGCTCTCTTATGTATCTGCCCATCGGGTATTTTGTCTGTTTGTTATCATCTGCAAGTTCTTTATTCAGTGAAAAACGCCCAGTTGAAAGCCTTCAGGGCTCTTGATCAGGGTTATTATCTGAACTTTGTCCTCACATAAGGAGCTGGATTGTTAAAATTTTATTTTTAAAATTGCTATTAGACATTTGGACTAAGTATCTCTCACTTGAGCAAGTTACTGTGCTGGGAATGCTCAGCTTCTTCAAGGACATCTTGAAGTATTTGCTTACACACCATTAAAGAGCCTTGCTACAAGGATGTGTATGTTTACCATTCACTGGTGAGGCTTGAGATCTTTCAGCCAAAGCTCCAAAAGAAACATAATTTTCATTATGAAATAAAAGGGAAAAAAGGAGACTTAATAACCAAGTTACATGTATTTGGGAACAAAGGGCCTGAAGTCTTAGAGCAGCAGCCTTTTTTGCCCTCTGTAATTGCACAGAGTAGAGCTCAGTTATTCCTAAATTAGTAGCACAGTTCTTGTGAAGTCTCATGTGTCTTAATCATGCAATCTAAATTTCTGTTCTGTGCCAAAATGTGTTTTAGTGCTACAAAGAAGCTTCTACTCTCACAGTGCTGGTTTCACAATACTTTCTGTGGAAAGTCCCATGTGCTCAGTGCAGTACTTCACGCTGCATGGCTGGGTGATAGTATTTCTGCTTTAGTGTGCAGGGTACATGTAAGGGTATCTAAGGAGGGACCTCTTTTCTCCTCCAAAATGGGTGAGAAAGAGAAGGATTTAGAAAAAGGTCAGACAGACAGGAGAAGAGGTACAGTTGTGGAAGTGTCTGGACCCCCTAGAGCCATCAGCCCCCCAGTAACTGAATTGGTGATCCAATTTTTTTGTCCTCTGAGATGCCTGTTATCACTCCCTCCCTCCCTCTTCACTGCTGTGTCATGTAGGTGTATTTGTAGGCCATTATCTTCTATTTTTCATTCCACTGTATCAGCAGTGCAGTATATTTAAGGGATCCCACTTCACTCATGACACTAATGGAGTCTCAAAGAGGCCATATGATACAGTCATTATTGAATTTCATCAAAAGCACATACAAAGCCATGGTAAAAAAGGCATTATTTAGGCTGTAAAGTTAGGAAATGCAAGAAGGAAGTTTTCCTGAGGGCATTGTCAGGGGTTTATGCATAGTGTTAGTCTTCCTTAACAAGATTATATCCTAGCACTACTGTCTCTTTAAGGGATGGAGAATATTTCTCTTTAGGATGGGGTATACAATTTAACACTCAGTATTTGAGCTGTGTCCTGAGGGCAGGAGTATTGTCTTCCACTGGTTATGTACTTCATCAAAATTAATTTGTTGTCATTACAGCTGAGTGACATGGAGCATTATTACCTCCATTTTACAGAGGGCAGTTCAGGCATGAAATGAAATACCCGTTCTGGGTGTCAGCTTTAGAGAGCTTGTATCTAAAACATGTATGTGGTTTGATTTCCAGACTAGTTTTCACTCAGCATTCTGTCTTCAGTACCAAGTCTGAGGCACTTGGGCAGGTCTGACTGCAGTCTTGAGGGAGCAAACACTGGTAATCACATGAGAAAGATTCTCTTCCCTAACTTTTATCAGCATTCAGCTTCAATGGCCAGTGGAGCAGTGGTCTGGCAGACAAGTCTCTTTCCTTGCACTGCAACAGCATCTCTCCAAAATGGGACCTGAGCTGTTGGTTGTGTTGCTGAGAGGAGATTTTATGACCAAGATCAGATGTGAATCTTCCCCTCTGTGTGTATGTGCATCCGTAGAGAGGGTGTGAGCAAGCATGGAGGCAGCAACAGTGGTCCACTGGTGAGTGTTTCATATGTAAGGAGCCTGTGATCTACACTGCATCCATATGCATGGCCCAGGTAAATATATACATAAAAATCCTGCTGGCAGGTCATGTGATTTTTCTTATGTAATCTCTCTTATGTAATAAAAAGGATGATTTGAACCTTTCTTGGAGAGCACAGCACCTTCAATTGCTGCTGCTGACTTGTACTGCTGTTTTATTGATGATTTGCTCTGTTTCAACTCTGGTCATAATTTTATTTGGGAAGAGGATAAGTTGCAGTATCAAAAGATCCAGGGGAAAACGAAGCAAAACCCTTGGGAGCTGCTCCTAATCAAAACTGAACTGTTAACCATTAAACAATAGAGGGTTGCCACATTGGGGAAGGCCAGTGTTGAAACTGCTGAAGTTTCAAACGTGAAAATCAAAAGAGAAAGGCTAAAAGGGTTGAGGGAAGGGAGAAAGCTTTAACCTCTGTTCTCCTTGCTTGCCCCCCTATCAGCACAGTTTCCACACCACCATTGTGAAGCAACCACATTATTGGGCTTTTGGAACATCCAGGGTCCCACCTCTGAGATGAGCTACTTGCTGTGCTTCCAGTCCCTTTTTTCCTCTGTGTAAGTCTCCTGTCAAACATGTATCTTTCAGAATATGTTCAAACCAATCACTTCACCTATATCTCACACTCATGTGTTCCCTTAAACCAGCAAGCCAGTGATTTCACTTCTCCACTCATTTTTCCTATAGCCGACTTTGCAGTCCTTTATTATGCTATCTGCTTAAAGACATAAATTCTCAATTTGAGAGGTTTTTTCCCTCCTTTTTTTTTTCCATCTACTGTTTGTGCCTAGTGCTTGTTTGGCATAAATAAGAGCAGTGAGGAGGACCGTGTATGACCCACGTGTCTGTCTTTTTTGCCAGGATAAAACCTCAGTCTCAAACCTGGAAATATTTCTCAGATTGTTTTTCCCATACCACCCACATCTTTTTTCCACAAGAGGAAGCTGCTTATGTTGAATGCTGTGGGAACCTAATTGTTACTTTATCGCACAGTGAGGGAAAAAAGTGCTAATTAAACAACATGCCTTTCCAAAACCAGATGATACTTTCATTTTCTAGAAAGAGGAAGCTTAATGTAAAATCCCTTCGTCTCTGCCTGGTGAAACCAGATGAATTGCTAAGAAGTTTTCTAATTTCATTTGCATAAGCCTTTTTCTAGCTACTTTGAAGAAAGTTCAAAGCTGACTGTTTGGTTATTTGCCACTCAGCAGCAGGAATGCTGGCTTTTCATTTCCTCTGTGTTTGAGTACCAGGAGGCGTAAAACTGTTCATCTGCATATGATAATGCTGTTCCCTTATTTGCATCTTCCCCTTTTTAAAAGGAGAGCCCAGGTCGATGCAGGAGTCTTGAGTCTGAGTTTGGCTCAGAGGAGTCCAAATGGACTGCTTTACCAGCTCCACTAGGCTGGTGGGATGCAGAGTTTGTTCACCAGCACAGAGCAATGTTTCAGCAGCTTGGGGCAAGTGTGAAGAATGTTCATCTAAGCATAAGTTTGATCAACATGCCTGAAATCTCATCTTGGCTATGTCAGTAGCCCAGCTGCTTTGTTTCTGTGCCTTGTGTTCCTCTTACCCTATAAGATCTGGTTCCTTGTAAGGCATAGACCTACTGCTTGTTCTTGAGGTCTGCTGACTGATCTTTCCACAGGTTCATCTTTCCACAGTCACAGGCTTTGTGGTGTCTAGGGGCTGCTGCTCACCCAGATATTATTAGTGGAAACTTCAGTTCTCTCAACTCTGCAATTAATGAAGCAGTTGTTACACTCACAAAAAAACCCCAAACAACAAAATAAAACAACCCTCCCCCCCCCCAAAAAAAAATAAAAATGACAAAAAAAAAAAAAAATCAAAAATCCACAACCAACCAGGAATGTGCCAGAACTTTGAGATGCACTTTGTTAGAAAAACCTTGTCCCATCCCAGGCTGAGATGACATGCAGCCCATTGCTCTGTTTTGACAAAGAAAATGAGACTGGGAGGGTGATTTTGAATAAGAGGTAGGATGATCAGTTGATACCACAAGTGTCAACTACCTGCTTTGTGCTGGTGTAAGACTACAGGGAGCCATGGGAACTCTTAGTCTGTGCAACAGCAAGTGTCTTGGATGGTCTGCTTTGCTTAGCCAAAAGAGAAAGTGACTCTTAAAACAGGTTGATGAAAATGCAGCAGCATCCCATGTGGGGGCTTTTAATGGCATTTTAATTTCTTAATGAGTGAAGCCCGTTTTACTGGCTAAGTATATCCAAATTGGATGATAATGTCATTTAGTTAATCCACATTCGTTTAGGGAAATGGAACCACATCTTTTTAGTTTCTCAAACATCCCTGCATTGATGTGTCCTTTGCTTTAGCTCTCTACTCATCTTGTACATCTTCACTTTGCCGTTACTGCACAGAGTCTCTCTAGCTGAGATCTGTTTGATGGGCTTGCTCTACACATTGCATGTTTATTCTCTTTCCTTCAGTTTTGCCTTTTCTAACAACAAGGCATAAATCCAGAATTGTTCATTACAGGACAGATGCCTCACTAAGAATTAATCTGAAACCAGACCCACAAATGGTTGTAACACGTCTGTGGCTAGCCAGGGTTGCTGCTTGAATATTTTAGCTGTGATTTTTTCCACTGGAGATACCTGACTGAAGATACTGACTCCATCAGCCAACACTGAAACCCTAAACCCATAGCAAAAATTAAGGTTCTAGTCCTCTTCAGCTACTAAGCAAGCCTGCTAATTAGGAGTATTGGTGAGGTGGTTCCCTCTTATGCAGTCTTGCCATGCAGAAGGACAGAAACTCCTTCTGTACTCTTTGGCTGATATGTACCATGTTTCATTTAAAGTCTGGGACACCTAAGCAATGTTCATTTTTCATGCATTCCTTTTTTCTCTATTAGGTTATGGAAGATCTTTTCAAGACAGTGACAAGCACTGTGCTCTCCAAATGTCCTCGTGATGTTGAGCTTTTTCATAAATACATAGCTCCTGCACAGAAGGTAATGCATGTGACAGGAAAGAACTGCAATCCTGTCATGTGTTTTGTGGGTTCTTGGCTATAGGAACACTTAATTTGTTTAATTTTTTTTTTTACTGTGTTGTCCTCTGTTAAGAAACTGAAAAGCTAAATATCACCTTAAGCTTAAGTGATTGTTCAAGCCAACAGAGAGAGGACACAATTTTGTGTAGCTGGTAGCAGGTGTGGTAAAACTGTAGTTGTCACTTCATCTGGTAGCCTCTGAATCATCAGCTTCAATAACTGGGTACCCTTTTAGCACTGAATGGCCAGGAGTGGATTTTGACCCATAGCTATATTAGAATGCAATCCTACAAATTACAAAATAGAGGGAGGTCACTTTCCTGAGTTTTCCCCTGAACCATAAAGGGTAGCTTTACATGTTTATGTTTTTCTTGTTTTGACCAAGGGCAGGTTGGAAGAAATGCTGAAGCACAAATTTATGATGTAAGTACTATTTCAAAATGATCTTGCAGAGGGCTTTTGGGGAAAGAGAACATTTTGCATATGTTCTTTTTCTTTCACAACTCAATATCTTCTGGGTTAGCATAATGTCTCCAAAAGAGCATGAGCTGCAGTTCCCTTTTACTGTTTTTCATGTATGCCCTTTCAGTTCTGCATGAGACTGACACCTGAATCTGCTGGCCTTTGGCTTTTGCTCCCCTGGACAAGATCCTCTCCTTCCAGCATGTACCTGCACATTGGTTGCTCACAGTCCTGCTTGGTTTTGGCTTTGATGCTCTGCTTTCATTCACACTTTCACTTCAGTGGCTCTCTTTATATGAAAGTATTTTATGACAGTTAACAATCCCAATTGGTTTTCTATTCCCAGTTGATTGTGTAGCTCCTAATCCCAGTTCTTTGTGCTAAAGAGCTGAAGGCTTTGGGTTTCCCTCACTGACCCCTGAGAGTGCCACATCCTCCCTACTTCTGCTTGTCTCTTCAAATGGTGGAGCTCTCAATTTATCTCACAGAACATTGCAGGCATGCTCATCCCAGCACTGGTTATCTTGTTAAGCAGCTACAGCCATACCTAGGCAACAGGATCATGATGGATCCCCCCTGTGCCTCTGCCTGCAGGAGCACCATGGGAGTCCTCAGTGAAGTTAGCATCTCTTTGGACCTAACTGATACTCCTGAAAGGACAAAATTGTGCTCATCTTCTCCCGTGCTCCAAGGAAAAGGAGAGAGAGACAGATCATCTCTTTCTCCCTCTCTGTCTCTCTCTCCACCAGCTGCTGGCAGATCTGGGCCATTCCTGGCTTACGCACATGGGTTACATGTGTTGAACCTGTGCCAGTGATACACCTCATTTGGTCTGTGGCCTCACATAACCCAAACATGTGGAGCAATATATTCCTTCTTGAGGTATTTCCTCCAGAAGCCTTCCCTGCTTTAGTGAAACCTTGTAATGGGGTGTAAAGAGCTTGTGCTCCTTAGGGAATTTGGTTAAGTGGATTAGCCAGTGATACAAGGATGAAATTATTGTGATCATGTTATTCTTTTCTTCTCTCTATCCACAACATTTGGCTTGGTATGTGGAAAACTTGGCTGCCATATTATCTTCTATTGAGTCTTGATTTCCAGCTACCAAACCTGGAGCATTATTCACTGCACTTTTTCTGTTTGCTTTGCCATGATGCTGTTCTTTTGTGCTGGTGGAAGTTGGTGGAGAATCTGCTCTCAAATCTGCCAGAGAAGTAGAGAAACATTGCTGCACGTAAATCTCATGGTTTTTAAAGTAAAGTGGAAACATTTGAGCTACAAGCCCTTTTGCACCCTGGGCTGTTATTTTTGCCTAACACACCCTGGACTAGAGCTGTGTCGGTGTAGCTATGCTGATGGGGACGTATTGTTTTCTTTAAAAAAATCCACCCATTTCTATGAAGCAATTCCCTGCAGAGTTCACTTCTGACTAAAATGCAATATTGCAATAATGCAGAAGTGTTGAGAGCTTAGCACTTCCTGCCCTGCATGTAGCTGAAGCACAGGAAAACATAGGATTCTTGCATATTAAATGCTTTTTGGTTTCTGTCCAAAGAAGCATTGCTGGGAAGTCTGACATTACACACAAGTTGGCATGGTGGTGGGGAAATGCCTCCTTAATTTTCCAGCATGGCACTTAGCCAGAAAACTTTGTTGTTCCTTTCATAGTTATCTTAAAGACTTTTTTCTTCCTCTTGCAGAATTTCCTACAGTGAAGCAGTGGAAATTTTGAAGCAAGCTCCTCAAACTTTCACTTTCAAGCCAGAGGTAGGTCACTGCCAGCTGGTTTGTCCCTATGCAGAACCTGAATCTCTGTAGAATCTCGTTTCTCTCTTTGTCTCTCTTTCTTTGATACCACAAGAGTTGTTACTTTGCACAGATTTTCTGCCTCCTGGGGTGTTTTGTTTGCTGGGTTGTAAATCCAGTGTAACTTTTGCCCTTTGGGGTTGAAATGGGAGCAGTACAAGGAGTGAGATGTGTAGCAGGAGAACATGTAACACTTGCAGGGAAGGAAGTGATGAGATTGCAGTTGAAGGACCAAGGCTTTAGCAAAGGCACTTCTCTTTCCTGTATGTGAGTAGTGCTGAGAGTGTTACAGATTCAGTAGCAATCATCTAAGAAGAGTTGCTGTAATAGTTCTCAAGAAAAGGAAAGATAAGAGGATAGCACCAAAAGTTTGACAAGGATTAATAAACCAATACCATGTGAAAATGCCATGTAATGTAGATGTAGGTAAAGGGAATCCCTTGTCTTTCCAAAGCATAGATGTTGACTGGGAAAAAGAGTAACATGCTAGTCTTTCTAAAGCTATGAGGTTGTGGTTTGCTAAAAATCATATTTTGCCCAATTTCAAATGCACACCCACTCCAGTATGGAACAGCATTTATGGTGGTGCTCATCTTATGTCTATATTGTTTAATCATTATCTCATTATGATACTTCAAGGAAAATAACCCTCTGGCTGAAGCCACCCTCATAGCCAGTTGGGTAACTGTCTCATCTCTCTGCACAAGTGGGTGTAGAACCTCAGATCTTTTCTCTGTGCTACCTGGATCTGAGACAGCAAACTTGGGATATTTTAATATGAAGAGAGTCTGGGAGAGGTCTGTTCCCCCCTTGCCCTTCCATTCCCCCAATATTCATTGGATGTCCTATGAACAGACTGGGGGTCTCAAGCCCAAAGCCACAGGATTTATAACATCCCTGGAAAAAAGGAAAAGTGAAGAGCATTGCAAATGTCCATGGTTTCTGATAACAAAGAATTGCTTAATAGGGTGCTAGGTTTTCTTAAGTGGGGATTAATGTAGCATGTAACAGGGCACAGCAGGGAAGAGAGTAATCAGCCTAGGAAAGCTGCTTTCTATACACCAAAGGTAATACTGGAGTAAGGCTGGTTGGCTGGGTCGAGTAAGCTGGCTTTGGAGAGGTGCCTGTTTTCCTTTAGATATGAGCATGTGGTTTGGGGTTTTTGGGGCTGGGATTTTTTTTGCTTGTTTTGGGTTTTCTGATTTGATACCAGATGCTTGGGCTTGATACGATCAAGGGACAGGGAGGATCTGGCCCTGTTTGTTAAGTTAAATCATATTATTTTACATGCTTTGCTCTGCCTGAAAACTTGAGAAACTGTCTACTTCCCAGTGACCTGTAGGAGAAGTTGCTTTGCTTGGTTTCATGCTGTTCAAAGCAGCACATCTCTCTGTGTGCAGGGATTTTGCTGGGTCTCTTGCCATGGGCGAGAGGCACCAAAGCAGATTCCCATGCCCCTTTTGCTGTCCTTACAGTGGGGCTGTGACCTCCAAACAGAACATGAGAAGTACCTGGTGAAGCACTGTGGAGAGGTTCCTGTGTTTGTGGTGAACTACCCATACGACCTCAAACCTTTCTACATGCGGGACAATGAAGATGGACCTCAACACACAGTGAGTCCATGGGTCACACCTCCACCACTTCCCTGTCTAGGAACATGTCTTGGCCTACTGATAGACATCATCTGCTGGGCCTGCTCCCAAGAAGTTCAAGATAAAATGTGACCATCAGGTGATCCTGTCCATTTTTTTTCCTGTTGTAGAAGAAAATACCCAAAGCAAGAACAGGAGGAGGAAGATTCAAGGGTTGGGGCAGTGTTAACTTTTTTACTTAATTGCCTTGACACAAGTTTGCCATTGTTTATTTCTTTTCCTGGTAAACTTCTGTACTATTAAGTGAAAGGCCTAGAATTGGATGGCTCCAAGTAGTCTGTGATTCTCTTGTCATCCAAATGTAGCATCCGTGTAATGCTCAAATAGCATATGGGCAGAAGAAATGAGCTCTTTATCAAGTCTCATGCCTTGAAATTGTGATTTCTCAACTGAATTGAGACAACCTGAAGCATTGCTTCTGCTAAAAAGAGCAGCAATACCACCAATGTGTCTTCAGTGGCTTTAATTCTAGCAACATTTCAGCTGTGGGATAAGAAAAATAACCCTAGAAGACAAACCAGAGAACACAGATAGCCCAAACCTAACAGCCTAAGTGGTAACACTTGGATTCTAACACTTGGATCCAGCACATGAGTGCCATTGCTACCATATCCATTAGAACTGGTTATAGGAATGGGGATAGATAGGGCTGAACACAAGCAACGGCATCAGAGCAGGGAATCAGGGCTTCAGAAAGCTTGCCCACATGTCCTTGCCTTTTTCTGAGCTGCTGTTGGGTTCTTCATAACCCCACACAGGTTGTCACCAGAGTAACTTAGTGAGATTCAACCAAGTGGTTGAGTGAGTTCAAACCACTTGCAGTAGATGTCCTCAGTCTGAGACATCAGTGCTGTCATTTAGGTTTTCCGTAAATTTCTGATGTTAATCCTTGCAAAATTTCCTCCTAGCCTTCTTCTGTCAACAAAAGACTTTTCAAGTATGTGCAAATCCTTACCTAGGCGTCCTGGACTCTGAAAGAATTACAGTAGGGTTTTACAAAAAACAATCAGTGTTAACTTCTTCTGTTAATCACTATGTGGCTATGTGGCATGACTTCAATTAGCTTTCTGTCTTTGAAGGTTGCAGCTGTTGATCTCCTTGTACCAGGAGTAGGGGAGTTGTGTGGAGGCAGCTTGAGAGAGGAGCGCCTGCCCTTCCTCGAATCACGCTTACAGAGGTATGGAAAATCCACAGATGCCGGGAGACTAGCCTGAATAGGAGAGTGTTTTAGCAGCTGTGGTTGGCAAGACAGAGGAGTGGAAGGCCAGATAATAGTATTTAAAAGAAGTCTATTTTTGTCTTTGTGATATCTATTTATATGAGTAGGTGACTGCAAACTGGTGAAGAAGTTCTTGTGCTTCTGTCATAGGTGTGCAAAGCACCTCTGTTTTAGCTCATCAGAGAAGAAAAGTTTTCTTTGTGCTAAGAGGCCAGGGCAGTAGAGTGCCTCAGTTCTGCTGCAACTGTCTGGAGCAGGGTCTGCTCTGGGACACTTCATCCTTTTCTTCAGTTTTTGTGGCTGAAAGTGGATTATGAAGGTGGAAGTTGTCACATATACAGAACTTAGATATCTGTCATCACATTGTGTAACTGAGAAATTGCATTTTTGGTCAGAAGCTTTGCCAGTTGTGATGCAGCTGGCCTCAGTGACTGGCCTGATTTCAGAGAATATGGCTCTTTGCTAATAGTTTCATGGGAAGCTTCACTGGAACTGGTCAAGACCTGTACTGTGTTGCAGGGGCTCCTCTTTCCCTGCTGCCTTAGTCTGCATCTTGTTACTTTTGGTAATTTTAGGTAACTTCAATGTCAGAATCTCAAAGCTGCTTTTTAGTTAATAATTGACATTATGTATTGGGTAATTCTCCATAGACAGTTGTTCTCTGGATCCTATCTGATGGTTCAAAAATTTTGTAGAATCAGGATGGTTTGGGTTGGAAGGTACGTGACAGACCATCTAGTTCCAGCCCTGCTGCCATGAGCAGTGACACCTTCCATGAGATCAGGTTGTGCAAAGTCCCATTCAGCACTTGAACACTTCAATTTGGGCCAGTCATACGCTTGTGCAAAGCAATACTGGGGGAAGGCTAATCCCAGAGTAGCACCATTTGCACATTGGGAATTAATTTGTTGCTTAAATTAGCCACATGCTCACACAGATATATCTATTCAGTGGAGAAGAGCAAAATCTACTTCAGCATAATGAATCCAAAAGGCACCAGGCAATTAAAATCACCAGAACATTAGTTCTCAGTTGTTAGTATAGGATGATGATATTCCCTGTGTTTCCTGCTACTCTCCCTGTCAGCTCTCTGAAGCAGGCATGCTTCAACTCATGTAAAGTACAATGTTGCCTGCTGCATTTTTTCAGTCAAAACTTTCTGCTGGTATCTGACTCCAAAGTCCTAAGGAGGAGGAGAATGGTCCATGTGGAGTTCGAAGCCAGACTTTCTTGTTTGTCAGGAAAGTCATAGAAAGCATTTCAAGGTACAAATGGGGTGTGTCTTTGGTAAATCACACCTCCTTTCACATGTTTTTCTCAATTTTGAGTCCTCGGGATTTGGTTTTGTTAAGCCCAAATACTTTATACCTTTAAATTCTATTTCCTGCAGAACCAGCATAACCTTAGAGAGATAAAACAGGATCCTTGTCTTTTTATGCATGCTTCATACAATAGTTCACCAGGTTTTCCCTTTTTTAGTAGCATGGTCTTCCAGGCAAGTGCTGCTTGTGCAGAATAACTCTGTTCCTTTACTTACAAGGGATTTTCTTTTTGTTTCACAGATTAGGACTCACAGATGCCTATCAATGGTAAGATGCCACCTTGCTCTGCAAGCTCTTTTTCTTCTTTTGATACTTATTTAAGTAACTGGGATTTTGTTTAGGTTTTTTTGTTTGTTTGTTTTGGTTTGTTTTAGTTTGGTTCTGGGGGAGCAATTTTTTGGCCCTGTTGCCCTGCCAGTCTAAATGAAATAGATTCATTTAAACAAAGGTTAATCTAATGCTACTTAGTTTATGCCTCCAATTTGTCCACTCACAGCACAGGTTATTCCAATTTGTTCACTCACAGCACAGGTTATTCCTCTCAGGACTGCATGGATTAATTTATAACCCATAATGATTTTTGATATTAAATCATTAGGCTGTGTTGGAAGCTGGGTCAATTCTGACCACCATGCACGAGATAAACAGGTTACAGAACCACAGCAATTTGTGACCTTTAAGAGGTCTATGAATAACTTCCTTTGTAATTGACAGAGCAATTGGGTCGAAAAATCTCCCCTAACAAAGCAGTTAAAGCAATTAAAACTGTCCTCCTAAGGAGACGGATCAACCTTTGAATTAACAGTTTAACCCATTAAAACGACAGAAGGTTCTTAGTGTTTCTTGGTATGTACTTCATCACAGCTACTGAGAGAGGGGTAGTGTAGAGAATTTTAAATTTAGAAGAGTATTTTTAAATATTCTGCAGTATTTGGATTGATCATTAGGAAGGCTGCCTTGAAAAAAAGCAAAGTATAGTTTCTTAACTCTCATCTTCTCACAATATGAAATCACTGAGGAACAGCCCAGTGGCAGGTCTTTACATCATCCATGTGCAAACAGGGTGAATTTAATTTCTTCCTTTGTTGTTGTATTTGTGGTCCAGAATACACCATATCCCTTTATCAGAGGGAGGGATTATCCTGAACAGGGTGATAAGCTGTGTGGTTTGATGCTGAGATACAGCCCAAGGAGGTCTGTTGTTCAATGGTAGAGCCTTTCAACACTACTAAGATAGTGCAGCCCTGCCTCATGCTTCCCTCAAAAAAAGATGAGGACATTGCCTGTGACTCATTTGCATTTTCATGTGATATGTAACAATCACATTCTGGAAACTCTTCCTGCTGTAATCTTGTTTTGGAGACTCTTTCCTCCTTTATTCCCTCCACTCCATCAGACAATGAAACTTCCTGGAGGAGATTAAAACTGCTGTTACCCCCTGCCTTAGCAGGGTCTGGTGTCCTAGGAAGGTGCAGGATAGTAGTAATTCTGGATGCTTCTGGACTGCAGTCCAAAATCTGCCAGAATATACGGGTAGGTGCCTTGCCAGCATCCATCTTTTCAGTGGAGGTGGTAGGAAAGACTAAAATTAATCTTCTCCAATTTAGTGATTGAATTGAGTCTCCAAAGCTGGCTCACAAAGTCCTGGAAGAACAGTTGAGTCATTCCTTTTTAAATATAATATTTGCTGACTTTTGAATGTGATCTCCTTTCAAGTTCCTTAGCTATTGCCATATCTCTGATTCTACCTGTTTTATTCCTTCCACTAAGCAGGAGGATATTGTGGGTCTGACTGTTTCTAGGACAGTTTCAGGATTGCCTTGTTCCTGGCTGAATTGTAAGGCAGAGGCAACTGATGATCTGAAATACTGCTCTGCTTCTTGCCATTCCTACCTTTTAGTAAGTTTTTCAAAAGATAGATAAAGTGACATGGTCAAACTATGAGTCTTCTTCGGTACACTACATCTTTCCTGTTAGGCAAGTTTCTTTCCATATAAAATTTGAGTTGAAGTAGTATTTGGCTTGATTTTGTAGTTATTTTATCTTATTTTCACACTTTTTCCTTTGAATTGGAGATGGAAAAAAGCTCAGAGCTGTAGATTATGATCTTGGCTAAACTGAGAGGTCTGTGGAAATGAGGTGGGAAAGTTGAGTGATGAGGGTACTCTGGGAGTAATTATATATATTAGTAATTAAGAATATTAATAATAAATTATATTAATTTCTCTGTGACCAGGGAGTATTACCTTGTAAACAGGGAACTTGATCCTGTTTGCAGCCTCCAAGTGCCATTTTAAAAGTAAAAAAGCAGGTGCTTTGTAAGGTTCCCACAACCATCAGAGTGAGCAGTGTTTCAGACAGTCTTCCTACATGTAAGGCACTGCTTCCTTGCTCTGATTATCTTCACATGCTTCCGTGGAGACAATTGTCTCATACTGAGCCCTTTACAGTCCAGGTACCCTTTTGATCTTCTGGTGTAACGCTGGTGAAAGTACACAGTAGCAGAGCAGGTGTTGTCTGCTGTCTTCAAGTGGATGTTACTGTGTTTTGGCCCTGCTCCTGCTCTGGATGAAGAAGATTGAGTTCTGTTGGGCTCTTTCAAAGATTAGCTCTTCTGCTAATCTTTGAAACTTGAATGTCAGAGTGTTCTGTTGGGTCCTTGCGTGGCAGGGTAAAAGGAGGAGTTGGGCTTAGGGAAAAGTAGCACTGATGAGCTGCTTGGAGCCCATGGCCAGTGACTACACTCTCCTTTAACCTTCTTTAGAGCCCAGTGAAAACAGGTAGCTCATCACTGTCCTTGGCAGCCACCTGGTCCTATTACTCCTCTTTGGGAAGAGACTGGAGTGCTGTGCTGGGCCAGACAGAGGCAGGCAGAAAGCCAGGGGGGTTTTTCTTACGCACACATCCAGTAGAATATTCAGTTTCACAGACTATAGTATCTTTGCTCTTTCAGCCTTACCTTTTTCAAAATGGCCACAGAACCTTCAGCATAGCAAGGGGATTGCAGAAAAGGTTGAGATTATGTATGTTTTGAAGAGACTGAAAAGAGCACATTCAGTTTATGAATGGTCACTAGGAGAGCACTGCTCTTCATAGTGCTTTGCTGTGCAACACAGGGAGCTCACAGTGATGATAAAAGAATATAAATCTTTAAAAGGATGAACGGAAATGTTCTAACATGGCACATAACGGGCTCCTGGAATTCATTGCTGGGTGATGTTGTTATAGCACACACTTTAGTAAGATTCAAATCTCTGAAGATCTACCAGTGCTCAGGTCTAGAGCAGGAGCACCTGGGCTAGCTGGGGTCACAGAAACTTCCTTCTCCTGTGTAATAACGCTGCACAGTCCACCAGTTGCCAATAGAGTGCTCAGCTCTGCTCTTAAGTATGAGCTACTGGCAAAAACAGCTAGACTACTTCACGACTCCTTTTGAGGTGAGAAATATCCAATGTCTCTAGACTATTGAATGTAGGAAAACCTCAGGGAGCATTTTCCAGCCTAAAGGGATTTTTCTCTTTATCTGCAGGCAGTTACTTTTTCTTTCATCTGTGAAGAATGGAAAATTTCTCAATTCTTCTGCTTCTTCTATGCACAGTCATCAGAAAGGATTCAGAGTCTTGATCCTCAGCACATTTAATTCAATGGACTTTTTCCATTAACTTTGATGGGTTTTGTTTCGCTCCTTTTGCCAAAATGACTTCTCAAAGTGCTTTGAGATCTACAGATCAAAGTCCTGGATAAGCAAGGGTAGAATTTATTATTATTGTTCATCTGGAAGTAGCTGACTTATTTCATCTTCTTACAATGACTTTATAAACTCTGTTGCCAGCAAAAAGGGAGAGAAGATGCTGGGCTTAGTCACAACTGCCTCTGCAAAGGCTGATGCACTTACAGACATTATCAGAAAAGCTTGTGCTGTTACTTGTATTCCTGATTACAGCTAAAGTAGTTACCAGCTGCTTTGGCAGTTCTGAGCTGGGTCAGACTGATCTGCCACGCCCAGCACCCATATCCCTCACATTTATGAGTGTTTTGTGAGTCACCACCCTCAGCATCAGGTCTGCCCATCACCTTCCTTGCAAGGCCTTGTAAAGCTGTGCAGTGGAGCTCCCCAGGAGCAGTTCAGGGTATTTGCAGAGACTCAAGTTCTTCTTAATGCAGTCTGTGTAAAGGGGATAGAGATGCAGACCACCATGCAGTTGCACAGCCTGCGTGTTCTTATCCTGAGCACAATCCTTGTCACAAGATGTGGGGTGCATACACCAAGCCTTAGTAAGCCAAGCTAACACCCAGCAGCACAGAGAGAAAAGCACGTGGGTCCCAGTCATCAGAAAACATGTCCCACTCTTGGGCCTGCTGTTCAACTTGCACTTTGTGTTTCAAGCTGCACTTTGTGTCTCAGTGCTATGAAGAAGAAGTAAGCTCTGCTTCTCCTTTTGCTGTTTGGGCAGTGGAGGGGAGAGGAGAAACACTGAGGAAGAAAAAACCTGAATATTGGATTGAGTGTAATAAATGGTTTCTCAAATTTTAACTACTGCTAATGAGCTGTAAGGAAAAATAATATCTCATGGTATGAAAGGCATACTGTGAAACTGAGTGGCAGGGCAATCTTGCAGCTATAGAATTTGTGGGAGAGTACTCTTATTTTGTGAGTAAGGGTGACCATGGGCATTACTTTGTCTTCATTCTGTTAAAATACAGTCTTCAAGCCAAGAAAGATCTGATGTCCAAGCAACTGCATTCAAATATACATAACATATATTTTACATATTTATACATATATAAGTACATATACACACAAATATAATATTTCCTTGCAGTTCATTAACAGTATGTAAAATTTGGGAAGCCATTTATTGCAATCAATCCAGTCTTAATTTCTTTCACACTGTTCTGCCCCCCTCTACTCCACTGCATAAGCAGTAAAACATATGCATTTATATTTAAGTGCACTTGATTTTTTTTTAACTGGGATGATGAAATATTCATACACCAAGATTAGAAGCAAGTAATACATCTGGAGTCACTCAATCCCCTACTGGTGCATTTATATAAAGAAGAATAACTTGGTGCCCTCAGCAACCTCAGAAGTGGCCCCAGAAATCAATAGAAGCACTGAGATGTTTTTCACTTCTATTAAAATAAAACTGCTGGGGACAATTTATAGCTGCAAATACACTATCACATCAGCCACAGTCCAGCTGGGAAGTGAGTAACTATAGAAGAACCATCATAATCTTGTTGACACCCATATACTCAGAGTATCTGCTTCCAAATGTTTTCTGAGTTTTCTGTGCACAACAGGTGCTGTTCTGCAAAATAAAATGTCTTGTTCCAGATCTCATTTTTAGAGAAGATACGTTCAAGCGGTTTTTTTCTGGCTTACTATAGAAATAAATTAATCCGTCTGTAAGAGTGATTGGGGAAAAAGTTGCCAAAAGCCATCATAATTACCTTAAAAGAAAAAAAGAATGAAGGAATGTTGAGTAGACAGACAGCAGGACTTATTTAAGCTTCTAAATAAATTGCTGGAAATGAAATTACTTAAGCAATTGAAAAGCAAACAGAAATTGAAAGAATTTGCAGGACAGATTTCCACACCAACCTGGCAAAGGCTAGACAAGCCCAAGCAGAGAGCTTCACCTCCAGCAGGGGAAGTGCTTTGTGATTCCGTAGGAACCTGGGTTTGTGTCTCTGCGAGGAGCATTTTAGGTACTAAAACTACAGAGCTGTTTCCAATATGAGCAGAGGTATGGTGCTCAAGCTGTTCTTCATTAGCCAAATACGTTCTTGCTCCTAAAAAAACATGCACAGCTATGCTGGTTTGACTGGGTTTAAACTTGGGGTTTCTGCTGATACAATTCTGCTTCTTCATACCCCTGACCAACACAGAAATCACAGTGGTTAGGGTCAAAGGGAAGTAATTAAGATAGAAAGCCAAACCCTAGACAAAAAGCTCACTTTAATGATGTCAGCATAACTGTGCTGCAAATGTAACTGTCTGTTTAAATTACAGGTATCTAGACCTCCGAAAATTTGGATCAGTTCCTCATGGAGGCTTCGGGATGGGGTTTGAACGCTACCTGCAGTACATCTTGGGAGTTGACAATATCAAAGATGTTATTCCTTTCCCCAGGTTTTCTCACTCCTGTCTCCTGTAGCTCAGCAGTTGACTCAAGTGGAGAAACCACTGGTGTAACTGTGTGTATATAACGTACTAGGATATGACTGAGTGTGTTTCAGTGGAAAATCAAGGTAGTTTTTATATCAATGAAACTCTTGGTCAATTTAATACTGGGTTATTGAAAATAATGTATGTTCTGGTGAGATTATGGAAGGACACTGGCAGTTAATTTGATAGCAGCTTATGTCTTCAGTGCACTTCAGGAGTATTAATAAATCCCACTTAACTAAAGGGTTATGATTCTCATGAGACTAGTACATGCCATGGAAGTACTGAACAAGCACTGAAGGTAGCAGGGGGTTTTCTGTGAAATATTAATAAGGAAGTGTGACCTAAAATATTGTCATGGCTGTGATACACTTGCTACTGCTACAGTCAGGAAATGGCTACTGTAAAGCATGATTCTCCCCACTCCAAGTTAAAGGCAAATATTGTTTACCTTGGAAAAATCAGCCAAACCTAGCAAGGAACAATGTCATACTGGAATTGCTGGAGTGAGTTTGTTGAATGATGTTTGATTTTGTGAATCATCAATAAAGATGTACACTGGGTTGTTTTATAACTCTGTATGGTTTCTTCTTCTGTTATAAAACTGTAGCTCTCAGCATGAGAGAGTTTCCTTCAGTATCTGGTAGAGGTTTCATTTTCTGTACAACCAAATTAGTTGCACAACTTTTGCAGAAGGTATCTGTTTTCTGTCTCCAAGAAAGCACATATTCAGAGCAGACAGAAATGTTCAGTTAGATGAGAGTTCATTCATCCATCCATCTCTCCAGAGCCAACTTGCAGTTCATGGTGGGGTTTTGTTGTTGCTTTGCTTTTCTGTTGTTGTTGTTGTTGAGAAAATCTCTCATGTGCTCATTGGACCAAGCAGTTTGGTTTGTATTGTGAAACAACCAACATAAGCTCCCAAGCATTGCTGTGTATTAAGTAATTGCTTATCACTATAGGATCTGAACTCCTTGGCAGTCTCTAATGGGTTTATGCTCTCAGCTTCTCTGCCAGGTAAAGAAATACTCATTTCTGTTTTGAAGACAGTATTATGGGAAGAGCAAGTGACTTGCCTGAGGCAACTGGAAACCAGTGATTTATTTGGGACTTGAACTGAGGGTTTCCAGCATCCTTCTTCCCTTCCAAATGATCATAATCCAGCAAATTATCATTTGCATAGTGCTTGCTACTCATAAGCCCACTACAGCTGGAGTATAAACCATGTATATAAAGAGGAAAAGCAAGGTAGTGGCCTTCCTGCTGATGAACCCCATGTATATGGGCACACACTATGAGAAGTGGCTGCAGGACAGCCCTGAAAACTTCTTTTCCAAGTAGATGGAAGTAGTTGAAAAACTGTAATCAACTAGCACTGCACTGGCAATACTGCAGTCACAGTTCTCTCTGGTAAGGCTGTGTGGCACTGCACCTGCAGCATCTAAAAATACCTTGGGAGGTATTTTTAGAGGTTTATGTCATGTGGCACCTGCCATGTCTCAGTGTGCTCCATGGCTGGGGTTTTTACCTGTTATGATCATGCAAGCAACATCACCATGAGGTCATTTCTTTGGGGGGTTTCTTGTGTGCACTGAGACATCTCCTGCATATCAAGATGTTTTCATGTCTCCTTCATCCACTTGATTAGGCAGGTGTTAATTGTGCGTTTGCTGGTTTGCATTTCCCAGTACAGCCCTGAGTTGGCAAGTCTGGTTCCACAAAACAGTTTGAGCACCTGCCTTCCCTTTGAAACCACTGAAAAGTTCCCATATCAGACACTGAAGTATCTTCTGCATTTGGACCATCTCTCCTTTAGTATGTTGTCTTAAGTGTTATTGCTGGCCTTTATGTTTTGGAATGACTTCTCTGCAGAAAGATGTGGAAAGAGTACAGCTGCCAAACAGCCCCATCCATAGCATATTCCCTAAATGACTTGCAATGAGCAGGTGTCCTTATTGAGGTCCTTAGTCACTGATTCTGTCACAGTCACTCTAAATGAGAGTGCCTGAACTGGAAGCCCATCTTCTGAGAAGAGAGTGGGGTGATGGCAAAACATCTCCTGTCCACTCTGCTGTCAATCCCCAACAGCAGCTCTGGGCTGCCTATGTTGGTTTTGGCATCAATGGGAGGTTGTTGATTCTGCTCTGAGATGCCAGATCTGATGGGCAAGGTGGGGCTAAACAGCGACAGGTGAAAAACAAAATGTAAAAAAGAAGACAATGGAAGGTGCCAAGAAGTTCTGGGTTAATGTGACATGAGTCACAAGTTACAGGGAAGGACACAACTGCTTCAAACAGGTTTGCAGGGTGGCTGTCAGGGTGACAGGGCAAGAAAAAAGAACTGGTCTAATCCACCTTTTGTTCTTTGCTCTTTTCAGAGATTGTTGCATGACTGAAGGTAAAGGTTGAACCTTTGATTTGCAGATAGGTAGATGTAAGTAAGAAAGAAGTAACAAGGATGCACTGCAAGTGAGTTTTTTTAAGTTTCCAACTAGGTATCCATGAGGAGCAGTCTCCCCAGTCTTCTACATGATCTGGTTCATTTCAAGGTGCTTGATGAGCTGGGTATCCAGTGAGCTAAGGGGACATTGCCCTTGGGTCCAAAAGCTCAAAAATATTAACCCTGGTAATTTGGCAGATGAAGCAGGAGCTGAGCAGGGTTGTCCCAAGAGAGGTAACCAGATGGCTCAGAAGGGGAAGGAAAGGTTGTCTAGTCTTGGTAGCAGCCTTCAACATGTGCTGGTTTTGCTAGTGTTGAGAGAGAGAAGAGGCTGAGGCCCTTTGCATTATGATACTGCTCAGGGTTAATACCGAGATTGGCATTCTTGTGAGAAACTTAATTTATGGGTAGACAGCAAGGGTGGGAGCCACTGTTTCCCTCCAGGCTGGCATTGTTCACCTCATGCTGTGTATATATAACATGGACTGGTATTGCCAAGGAATGTGACATGTTTTTTCTGGGATTTCCATGAGGAATGTCGTGTATTTCCTTTGAATCTCCTTTCTAGAATGAAACGGAAGTTAATCTGGAGGACGGGGAGGTCATTTCTCTTCGACATGTAAGCAGGGAAATGCACCAAGATTTTAATTCAAGCAGCTTCCCTTGCTACATCTTCTCTTAGAGTCTGCACCCTGACAGTGACTGAAGCCAGATAAAAACTGTGACACTTCTTCAAATACAAAGCTGTTACTCTTTGCACACAGGAATCACCTCTTAGGCTGACTGCAGTGCACAGTGTGGTTTTAGTGCTGGGGTGTTTTAAGTGCCATAAGCAGTCACCTCTCAAGCCCAGGTGACCAGCACTGTCTCTGCTAGCATCATTTTGTAAGTATTTCTTGAAGTTTCAGTTCCTCAGTAGCCCATGCTTGCCTTTTTTCAAGTTTGTCCTCACTTTGAGCTTCAGAGGAAAGAATGAGTGTCATTGATTACTGCGTCGGTATCTTTGCAACATTAGAACAGAGTGATGGGAGATAAAAGAGCTACACCGTAAATTTTGCATAACTAAATGCCAGCCTCTCAGAAGAGTGTTTAGAGGAAAATGTCTGTTTTTTTTTCACTTCAAGAATATCAGATAATCCCTTCACTTAAATTTTTAATGTGTAAGATCAAAGTATCCCAAAGTACTCTATTTTTAATTGAAAAAATAATACCTGCAGAACTAACACCCTGTTCCAGTCTTCTCATTTTTAAATCCACAGGAAAGCAAGTGCACGCTTGGAAGCTAGGAGTAGAGATTGCTGTTTTCTCCTTTATGATTTACATTGTGATACTGTGGCAGTGCTCAGATCCTGGGCTGTTGTACCTTCTGTATAAGCAGAGACAGAAAGGTACATGGGCCAAATGTTTAAACATCAGCAGATCAGCACAGGGATTTTAGCTGAATTACCTGCATTCAGGCCCCCAGACCTGAGGGAAACACGCAGCAAGGTGCCCAGGTCAGCAGTTCTCTCTCTGGTTTATTTGGTAGTAGTTGTAATTTATAAGGCATCACTTATTTGAGGGAATGCCAAGAGTTTGATGGGAAACGTAAAGTACAGTTTTGCTTGCTGGACTAATATTGATTGTTTTGGGAATAGCCTATAGATGTGACTTTCCTCAGGGGGTGAGGGGGGCTAATTTGCCAAGAAACACTTTTGTCATTGTTTCCATTAAATGTGTGTATAGAGATAAACGTGGCTTTGCTGTTGCTGAAACCAGTAACAGCCATTATGACTATTGTTTTAGCCTTTACCTTACACTTAGGGGAAAATGAGAGATGGGTCCAAAGGAGAAATAAGATTTTGTATAAAGATTGACAGAGTTCTAATTTCTTCAGACCTATCCAAAGCTGCTAAAGCCACAAAAACGGTGGTCTCGGGGGTGAATTTATTGTTTTCTCTTACTGTTTGTTGCAGAGCCATGACCTTCAGAAGGGTTGTAAAGTTTTATTTTATGATCCTGCTGATAAAGAGACATATGTAATTTACTATATGAGTTCTTACAGACTTGGCTAACAACAAGTTTGACCCAGAGTTCAAAGAAATTATGGCTCCCGTTGTTTTATGGCTGCTGTGCTGCAGTGTCTGCTGCACAAGGTGTACAGAAAAGATGCTGTAAAGGGAGAGCTTTCACATAAAGGGCCAGAGAGGGACAAGACTGTATGGCCATTTTAAGTCATGTACCAGCTACATCAGAAATTGTAGGCTCTATTGTGAGTGAAATATGGATGAAATTACTTTGGAATCCATGTAGCTCTTATTGCTGACACTATTATACTGCAGAAAATTGAGGCACAGAGCAATTAATCTGCTTGCCCAAGGTTAAGGAAGATGTGTGGCAGAAGCATAGAAGTGACCCAAATCAACCAAATCCCTGCTTGGTGCCTGCTCATGAGACTTCCCTCTATTTGCCTTTGGGTGCAGTGCCACACCAGAAACAAGGCAGGTTGTTTGCAACTGATCTGGTTTCAAACGCATTTTTGGCATTTCTAAGATCCTAGACTGTGCTTCAGTGATTTTTATCTATCCCTCTATGTCCTGAGGCCTTTCAGAGATAGCAATCCTGCTGTTTATTTTTATTACTCTTAAAATTGATTTTTTTCTGAATAATTTGAGGCAGCCTAAAGAGTAGATTTTTAATTTTCTTTGCAAGGGTTTATCTTGCGCTTTGCTCTTCATTGATATCTTTGTGTCTTACTATTTTCAGCAGGTTAATGTACTGCTACTTGTGCTGAAAGAATGGAGTTCAGAGTTTTGAGAAGTCACTGATCATACAGGTTGCTGGCAAAAAAGTATGCAAACTGCTCAGAAAAAAATCAGTGTGGTCTGGTAGGAAGCCTTGGTAATCATGTAAACATATAAGTTTCAGTATGGAACTATTCCCTACTATCTGTCATGGCTTCAAAAAGAGGCTACATTTCCAGTCACAGTGGAAAAAAATTACACTTCACTGACGCAATGTTTTTTAGTAATACTTCCATGGTGTCTTTACCTTCAAAGTGATTTTTGAGCAATAATTCCAGTATCTCTGATGGCCCTTTGAAGATCCTGGGCTCTCTGTGCTCAGTACTGTGCTTGAAGCTGTGTGAAGCAGGCA